GGCCCCCCTCGTCCTTCGGCTTGCAAACCTCTTTCCAAGCGACCAAGTGAATCTTCCTATGCTCAGCATTACCACCCCAAGCGAAAGCACGACTCCTTCTTTCTAGGCCGTCCGTAATAGCGCGTGGTAACAAGGCGGCTTGCATGGAGAAATATGGTAGTGCGCTAATCACTGATTGAGTAAGGGTGACACGTCCTGCTAACGAGAGGGATTTCATTCGCCATCCCGCTAACCGCTCCTCCGCCTTATCTAGAATATGGGCAAAAGTCGCCTTAGTGACTCGGCCATGGATGACTGGTATGCCCAGGTACTTCCCCAAATTGTTCGTCCATTTAAAGCGAAGCAAATCGGCTATCCGACGTTGTTCTGCGTGCCTCACACTGTGTGAAAAGAAGACTTGTGTCTTCTCTGAGCTAATTTTTAGGCCCGACATCTCGCAAAATTGGTTAAGGACTTGCTGGAGAATCCCCACTTGTGCATCTGATGCTTCCAGAAATAGGAGGAGGTCATCTGCAAACATCAAGAAAGGCACATGAACCGCTCCTCGCCCGACTGAAATCGGTTTCCATTCTTTTCGAAGGATTGCTTGTTCAATTGATTGCGACAGTCGTTCCATACATAGTACGAATAAATAAGGGGAAATGGGGTCGCCTTGTCTAATTCCCCGAGTAGGTTGGAATTCATCGCCTAGTGTCCCATTCCAAAGCAATCTCATCGAAGAAGACCGGACACATGCCATAATAGCCCGGATCATGACATCAGGGTATCGGGCTTGGTACAGGGTTTCTTCGATAAAGTCCCATCAAAGAAAATCGTACGCCTTTTCAAGGTCAACTTTAATGACCATGTGACCTGCGCCATTCTGTTTGCGGCGCATAGAGTGGATCAGCTCGTGTGCGACTACGATATTATCGACTATCTGGCGGCCCGGGACAAAGCTGGCTTGGGTCGGGTGGATTAACGTAGATAGGGATCCTTTCATGCGGTTAACTAGAACCTTCGTGAATAGTTTGTAAGCAACGTTCAACAAACTGATGGGCCTGAAATGCTTGATGGACGAGGGATTTTCGATTTTGGGGATAAGGACCAGTAGTGTTTGGTTTAACTCACCGGGGACTGCTCCATCTCGCCATATTTTACGAAGCAGGGCCTGGACGGATGGACCCACAGTGGTCTAATTCTTCTTGAAGAAAAGTGCATTTAGTCCATCTAGACCGGGGGCCTTTAAAGAGCCCATATTTTGAAGAGCCGAAGAGATTTCCTCATTCGAGATGTCGTCCTCCATGGCTTGCATGATTTCCTCATCGCACCTCTGGAATAAATTGGGCCCACCATCACCATCAGCCGGGGGCTGCCCTCTTGAATGTGTTATTTTTCTCCTCTTGGGCTTACACTGTTTGATATCTCTATTTATTTGGATATTTATTGATGCAGAATAATTAGTGATATTATTACTATTATTATTATTATTATTATTATTATTATTATTATTATTATTATTATTATTATTATTATTATTATTATTAGCTTGGAGAAGTTAGGTTTAGAGTCTTATTTAAAGAGATCTTGTGCTTGTTATGAGAAAGTTGATTTTAAATAAAAATATGAATTGATTGTGAGTTTTATCG